GTAAGTGTATATAAGGGAGTGTTTCTAAAACTGGAAATAGGTGAGCAGGGTGCCACTGTGTTAGATTTATTACGTGAGCAATATCTGAGACCTTCTTATTCGTATGAAACTATAGACTTCACAAACATCTAATCTGAACCAGTGCTGCATTCAACATACCATGTGACACACAAAATCAATTTTTATCTCTGTTTTTTTTTAATATTTACTTTTATATTAACAAATTGAGTAATGTATAGTTATTATGAAATTTGAATTATAATCTACCAGTTTGATACAAACTTCTTGACATAGATTCATGAAATAACAGTTCAATAAAATTTTGAATGCGAGTCAAAAAACGAGATGACATGGTATTTCAACTGTGACCCGTCTCGAAAGGGTTAATATACTGTTAAGCTGTAAAATATATATTTGTCTGCACACTCCATGCATAATGTGTGTTATTGGGTATCATTATCCTCACAAACAAAATATTGATTACACCATCCCTATTGATACAAACACAAGCATGTGTTATAGCTAGTTAAAATATCTGATTTGCTTCTTTTGTTCTCAGTGTTTGTTTGTAATATTAATTTCACTCAAACATGTACATTTTCTTTGATTATTTGCAATGTTTTGCTAATCTCTGTTTCAATTCATTTTTTATCTACAATAACTGGATACTTCAGTGTAGCTCAAAAATTATCTACAAAAATAACAAAAGTCATAATTGCAGAAATGGTGTAGAAATATTTGTTAAAACTCAGGAAGCTACTCACTGGTGTGAAGTCCACTGGAAAGTAACAAGCTGTGACTTCAAACACTTCCTCTACAAATGGACCTGAAATATTTGTAACAAGTAATGAGCATTAGTAATTTTGGTTAGGGTGTAGTGACCCAATGTCAATTGATTTTATGGTTAGTAGCCTATGTGACCACCTAAGACTAATTACTAATTTTTTTTACTTACTAGTTAATAATTACTAGCTAGCTTTATCCTATGTTTTGGCTGCTAATCTGTTGTCACTTTCACATAGGTCCAGAAAAAGGACTATTTCTATTGTAGTACTAGTTGAGATTCAATTTTGGAACTTGAAAAAGAGGCTTGGTATACCATCCAATTGGCTGGGGTCTCTCCAGTTAGTATTTTAATTATCTAATTTACTTTAATGTCTTCATGAGGGCTATCCAGGTTTTGCCGACTTCTATGCAAGGTTGACTTAGTGTGTTATCGGTTAGGTGTATGTAGAAGGCTACTTTTTTCTTTTGTGTTGTCCACATCCCATTACTTTAGTATTATTCCAATTTACTGCATGATCTTCATCTCCAGCATGATTAGCAATGACAGACAGATCAGTATTACAGGATCTTGTATGTCTTTTATGCTCTTGAATTCTAAGTTTTCTTTGATCTTTATGTTTTTTTCAATGTTCAAGGGAATGATGTGTTTTTGCTCTCTTTAATGAGCCTGTTTATAAATTCTAAAATTATAACACAAAGAGTTTTAGAAGTCCTAATACATACGCCACACAATTTCTCCTGAAATATGTTTTCAGACGATAACACAGCTGATTATAAGCAATACATTTATGTATATTCAAACCTGTATGATTTCCATTCTCAAGACATATTCTCTGCATGTACAAAAAAAGCATTTAACAAAGATTATTGTCATTATACATACATACACACACATACATATGCATACATAATACATACTTATAACATATCCTTTACAATACATTACATCTATTTCACAGCAATAAAAGCTGAAAACAGGAAGAAATTTTTACCATTTCAATAACAATCTATAAAAACATTATAGTCTACTCTAAAACATGCATTAAATTGCTTGTAGTTCTTAAATAATTTCAAATCAGAAAACAAAAATGGAAAGGCTTGAATTATATGTTACTTTGTCCAACATTCAACAATTCTTTAGACTACAGAAGACAGAGAAAACTTTTTACATGTTTACTGCATACTTCTTCTTGGAGACTGTAGTTACTTGTACTAACTCTTTTACGCAAGTCAAAGTATCATAAAAAGATGAAGACATTTTGAAAAAAAAAATTTAACTAGATGCAGATCAGATTACTCCAGAAACTTACATGTGCTAGATATAAGCCTAATTTAATACAAGTAACAGTTACCACTTGTTTTAGGAAAAACATATGTAATAAGTATTCTAAAAATTCTCCACCTAAATTAATATTCTGTACAATCAATGGCACAATTTGAAAAGCTAGAAGCAAGCAGCGTGGATCTCGCTCTCCATCCAACATCTGAACAAAACCAAGAACAAAGTCTGGTCCCATTTGCTGCAGCTCTGTAAAGATTACAAAAATCTTTATGTTATTAAAAGAAGAAAAATCACATTGTATGGTAAATACATCATCTTTCAGACAAAAACGATTTGTAAAACAACATTTTTATAGTCTAGAAGCTGAACATTGATAAGATATAAATCTTCTAGATTTTCTGAAGTGAATGTAAAAAAGACGAAAAAAACACTGGTATTTTTACTGCTAACTTTGAAATAAATTTCAGACAATGCAATAATGTAAATGTAAAAAAAATATATATATATATATATACTTATAATAATTCAACACTGAATAAAACAATTTTTGTAAAATGTCTCCAGTAAAATAAAACTGCTAAACTGACTAAATGTGAACTCAGAATATACATATAAAGCTGGGCTTCACCCAATATTCTTTAAAGATGCATCTTCAACATGATAAAACTGTATTTCATTATATCATAAAGTAAGTAAATTTTCAGTGTCAAAGATAGACAAATATTACCTTGTACTTTAACACATAAAATACTGTAAATTTTTATATAATTTATAAAATTTTGTAAAGTTCATATAAAATCTTACAGTATACTTCAGACAGGATCCACATGGATGCCACCAATTGTTTTAAATCATTTTTCTACACTATTTATGCACCAAACTGCTTGTGGGACATGCCTTTATTTTTCAATAATATACAAATAAATCCTAATAACATACAAATCACTAAAAATAATGTAAAAGAAAATGAAAAAAACTTTGGTTAGTTATTTACAATGAGTGTTTTACCAGGAAAAACAAAATTACTCAATATGATGCAATATCTGGATCTCACTAGTAGAAAGCATCATAAAAACAAGCCATTAGTTTATTATTAATATTATATGAGGGTGAAAGTTATCATTTTTCAATTTCAGATATTGTATACAGTGTCTGTACTGTTATCACTAGTAGGATAAGTGTTTTCATACATATGCTGTCCATATTATACAGTTCAATTAAAAAAAATTATACAGCTATAAATTGGGTTTCATACACACAATGGGCAGATCACAGATAGCCCACTGTGTGGCTTTGTGCTTAACAACAAACAAAAATAATGGCAATATTTGAATTACTTGCATAGCTAGAATAATCAAAAATAATAATAACTGGTAACCCTAGTTTTGATTAGCTTATTACTTTGAAAATATTAATGAAAAATCATAATGGTAATATTTCAATTACTGGACAGTTGAACAGTCAAAAATAATGAAAATTGAAAACATTGATTTTGATTAGTTGATTATTTTCATGACATTAATTGATTTATTAGTAATTTCGATTACTGGATAGTTGACTTAATTGGAAACACCAACTTGGATTAGTTGATTATCTTGTCACATTAATTGATGGAATCATAATTTCAGTTCATGTGACACTGACTTAGTTGATGTTCATAGATAATTGGGTTTAACACCCAGCTCTAGTCACCAGTAGCTAATAAGTTTAACTTAACAAAGACTGGTTTAAGTATTAAAAAATATGTTGAAGATCGTACAACAGTACAGAATAAAAAAATGTTTAAATAAGAAATAAATGGCAAACTGCTTTTCAGCAGGAAAATTTCATTAAGTAACCCAATGATGAATTTAACCTGATTGAAAGAAGTATACTTGTACATGAAAATAATTAAAGTCTGAGGTGTGCTATTTTGATAAAATGTACACATAATTCAGAATAAAAAATAATTTAATTTAGATTCGAAACAAAGATTTATCAGAGTGCACAATGAAATGACTTTTAGTCTTTTGAATAGACATTCAATTATTATGGGAAGGAAAAAAAAGTGTGATTAGAAAAATTGACAAGCATTTTAGTCATGAAAACAAAATAGAATTATATCAAATTCAAAACTAGATTAGTTTTCAACAAGATTTTTTTTTCATGTCAAAATACTTTGAAAAACTTCCCAAACATTTTACGTACCAGTAAGTCGATTCTGAATTAGATTTGATACTAGCTGAAAAGCACAAAATCGTTCGGTTTGTAACAGAGATGGAATATATACTTCACTGAATATTCCCCTTAAAATCTTTTCAACTTGTTCTGCTGGTAGGTTTTCCATTTTGGTCTGTAGAGAAGTCACACATGAAGTTTAGATTTTTAACTTTTCCTGAATTAGCTCTAGTAACAGATATAATATTGAAATCAAGTATTTGTACTAAACTTAGAACACACCAACAAATGGATTTTGTAGTAAAAATAGTTTTAGCTCACAATATGTACATTAATGTATGTGGTGCAGTTTTGAGTTTTTTGGTGAAAGTAATATACAAAGAAATTCAAACATAAAGCACAAAATAAGCAACATTGAAAATGAATGACAGGTAAGTTCTCTAAATTAACAAAACTATAAACTATCTGTATGCTTTCTGTTGAAAAGAGCTAAACATTTAAAAATGAAAGCAAAACAATGGTTCTCTAAAACAGTACTGAGAATCTGACTTAAAAAATGAGCATTCCACACATATACAGTAATAATGTTAATACAGAATGGCATCTGTCCTAATTTTTGGAAAATAAAACACAGATACAAATATATGCTCTTAAAAATTAACACTGTAACCTTTCACAAAAAAAAGAAAGAGAGAAAACAAATCAATATGAAGAAAGTTTAATTATTAGAAATTAACTTCACTTGCTTAAACCTTTCTGTACTGGAGGAGCATTGTTGTCCTCCTCTGATTTAATATTTTCACAGTGGAAGTACTTTAAAGTGCATGAAACTTGGCACAGACATAATAAATAGTATCTGATTTCGACTTAATGAATTAAATAATATGATCTAATTTTTCTATAATTTTTTAGATTGTGAAATTTCCAATCTTTTGTTGTGAGACTTTAAGAAGAACATTAAAAACATTCCCTTTCATATTCGAACTTCCATTTTGCTTTATGTATTGTTGATGAGAAAGATGCATTTTATATATTCAGTCAGTTTCAGCATTACTGATATTAATTAACATTTCTTTTGGTAACTGTAAATTATAACTACTTCAGGGTAAAAAATAAAGCATAAAAACATGGGAACAACTATTACACAATACTCATGGTTGAGACTAACTTGCATCTAATAAATATGTTTTTGTTTTCAATAAATAATAAGTTCTATTATTTATGTGCTTTGTTTGAATATGATAAACTTACATTACCATTTTCTTATGCTGAAAATGTATTTCAGATACTTACCTTCACCCACAAAATACCTTTTCCCGACTAGCACTGCCCTCTATCTGTGCATATCTTCAATGCATGCCACTAGCCTTCCAACTCCCACTTCTGCATATCCATATGCAAATGATCATGTAGAGGCTCTCCGCCAATAGGAGTGTGACAACTACACTCAATAATCGCTTCGAGACTGGGTAAGCAGAGGTAAGTATCTATTGGAAATACATTTTTGGTGTACGAAAATGCTAACTTCCAAAACAATATCTTACCTCCACTCATAAAATAGCTAGAATCCTGTATTGAACTGGTGTAGGGCTGATAAAAAAATTATCCCCTTTAGGAAGCACCTAAAGAGAGACCAGGAGGTGTGGAACCAAAAGAGAAAACATCAAACCTCATTCGGAAACTGCACCACATCTGTTCCAGGTATATTCTTCACTCTTTTATGACAGTGTCATGAACATAAAAGGTGAAAATACCTACAGGAATCCAAGAATATGTATGACCTATGAATGGGATTCCTGGGTGTCGAGTGGTTAGGGTGCACAGACTGTAGTGGTAGTTTGACCTCATCCAACACTAGGCAGTATCTGGAATGGTACATCAGATCCGCAATAGGGAGAGGATTGCCTATTTCTTTACCTCAAAATGGGAATTGGTAGGGAAGATGAGCTTCCATACCAAAAGCCATCTTCAATTGCGCGCATTTCCAACACAACCAACACAAGAACTGATATCCAGCAGATGGTAGGAAGGTATAAAGACCTAGTGGGATGACATCTCATGTCCAAAACCTGATGGCAATGGGTATGGTACTTCCAGTCAGTGGTAGGAGGAGGATATCCAGCTGTACACAAGCAGGAAAACATGTGCTGCATCCAGCTACAACCAACACCATATCCCCCTGGAGTCAACATCTAGCAAATGGTAGGAAAAAGGACTGAAAACCTGGGGTGCATCTCCAAAACCTGGCGACATTGGGCATTTGTCATTCAGTCCACGGTAAGAGGAGAGACACTGGCCAGCACACATATAAGGACTTACTTAGCTGGACCATCTCCAACCAACACTGGATCCACTGAGAATGTACATCTGGAGGATGGAAGGGAGGAGGAAGACCTCAGCCTGAGGTGCAAACTGCAATAAGAGATATATATATTTGTATAGCAGAGTGCTTCAACTGAAGATGGTAGGAAGGAGGAATGCCATGGTAGGGACAAACAATCAGTCAGATATATAGACAGGAATACAGCATAGTGCTACAACCAAAACATGGTGGCATCTGGAATTGTACATCAGGTCTGCAGTAAGGAGTGTGATATGCTAGTGACACCTGCAAAATGCCACCACCCTACTCTGTACTGAGTGGTATGGTTCATCACTCAGGAGGACAGACCTCCAAGGTCCACTACCCCAGTGGCTAGGAACTGGTAAGTGGTAAGGACTCCCATACTTCACTAGAAGAAAGGGGGGGAGAATGCATTGGAGGGCTGCATCATCGGAGACAGTTCAATAGGTGACTGCAATACCTTATTTTGAAAATCAAAACTACCACATGGATGGAGTTAATCAACCAAAACCTTGCAGCATCTGGAATTGTACATCAGGTCCATAGTAGGAAGAGTCTCAATGTCATGGAGCATCAGAGATAAGCAGCAATCTCTGTCAGCTTTACTCATGTTAGTCCATGAGTTTACAGTCTGGGACAAACATATTTATGAAGCAAAAAACCATTAGAGAGAACTGTTAGTAGTCCTACAGAACATCTCATTTCTACAGTGTGCATAACCCAAATCTTGGACGTAATTGTTTAGCCATAGATAACAATATAACGGAGAAACACAACCAACACCTGGCAACATCTGGAATTGTATATCAGGTTTGCTGTAGGAAGGGCTACGACATAATTGGCATGGAGTATGGTCGTAGGATGAACAGTGCAGATTTAAAAAAAATAAAAGTATACCTGGTCAGACACCACTTGCCACAAAGTGAGATCCACAATACACTAGCAAAAGGCCCCTGAAAAAGCAATAAATGTTTGAAAAAAAAGAACCTTTGACAATACCAAAAGAAAAGTAAAGAAAAACTAAGTAAGTAGTATAACAGAAAACAAAAAAATATGCAGGCAAAAACCAGCACATTTGCACAGTATTACTGATAACCGAGAAGTGATTAATGAGTGCTGATGTGAAGAGGGTGCTGGTTATGATAGGAATGGTGTCGTGCTCCTATTGGTGGAGAGCTGCTGCATGATCATTTGCATGTGGATTTGCATAAGTGGGAAGTGGAAGGCTGGTGGTGTGCATTGAAAATTTGCCCAATACAGGGCAGTACTAGTTGAGAAAAGCTATTTTGTGAGAGGAGGTAAAATATCATAATGGAATAATAATACTGAATAAATAAAAATTTGAATAACAAATATTTTGTCATTGCCTATTACACTAATAAGTCTAACTAAGCTTTCAAATAGGTTAAAAACATTTTCAGGACTAAAAATTCCCAGATTTGTGGTTTTTTAAAAGATTTTCTAAATTTCCCATCAGATTCCTTTGTTCTTCCTTGCAGAAAAAGGATTGATTGAAATCCAAGAACCAGTGAAATCAAAGGAAAATCACATTAGAAACAAAACATTTTCCTCTTCAAACTTTTCAGTATATTTTCAAGTTCTCAAAAGATAATAGTTTCTTAGCAAATATAAGCCTATGCTTTGAAAGGGCAGAAAAATTATAAAGAAATTCATAAGATAATTGTTTAAAGGCAAGATTTCTTTGAGCTGCAAAGAAATGAAACTTTGAAAATGTTTTTCCTTTTAGATATTTGAATTACACTAAGTAAGTGTTATGGAATGCCAAAATATCAAGATATTCTTTTTACTTAAGTTTGAAAATTAATATGCAGGTGTGAACTGGATACTTGAAAGGTGCTTTATAACCAAGATAGGATTAAAGCTAAATTTAAAATGCTGTTTATTGATTTTTTGTGCAAATCCACTCAAGGAATATTTGCACGAGCCATTCCCTAATTTTTCAATGATAGATAAGAGGGAAGGAAGGTAGTCAACACCACCAACTTGCGAGTTTCTCTAATGAATAGTGGGCTTTAGCTGTCACTCTTATAAAGGAACCCATGGTCCCAAAAGTACAAAGTGCAATTTTTTTTCTGATAAAAGGGTGCAAACAACAGAATCTCTGATCCACAGTCTAGCACACTAAGCATGGCTGTGCTTGGTCCAAAATTAAAATATACATGTAAAATATTTGTCTTAAGACTTTGTCATTTCACTGCTTGAGTTATTATAGATAAAACTGAGGCTAGATTTTGTTATTGTCAGCTTTGTGAAGGAATAAACATCAGTATCTCTAGATAGAACAGTTATACTTTTGTGGTGAGAATTAAATGTTTATCCAATTATTTATTCATTTACCCATTAATGTTGGTTGAATGTTCAACTTTAGCTGATCAAAATAATTTAAAAAAAAAATTGATACTTCCAAAAAAACAGAATCTTCAGGATGTTAGACATATCATTTTCTTCTCATCGAACCTATATTCCATAATATATTGAACCACTGTGCCTGCACAAAGAGACAGTTTCTATAGCTAATTTCTTATATCCACTTGTTTCTTTCCATTTTGTATCATAATCTTAATGTTTGAAGATATATTGTCTCATATCATTCACTATTTGAAAACAAGCTTTATAAACTGACTCATTACATGGGATCCTTTCTTTAGTTATTTACTAATATTAATCTTTTACTACTAACATTACAATCTGATATATTGTGCATGTAAGTTACTATAGTAATGACTCGTGCACAACTAAAATGTTCAAAATTCACATCCACTGAGTACCACTAAACCCTCAAACATTATGCTCAATCCTGAAATGTATATATTAAACAAAATTAGAAAAGTAAAGAACATTAATCCAATAATACAACATTTTTTTTTGCAAAAAAGTTCACAAATCAGTTTTAGTTGTCCTTTTTAGAATTAAAAAACTGAAATAGGATATCAAAAAACTGTTTTCACTCATTTGGCTGTAGAATTTCATACATTCTGTAATACTGATACACAAATGACTACTTCCAAAAAGTAAACTAGTTAAATATACAAATAAAAATAATCTATTACTCATATTATTATGCTAGTTTGACAAATAATACAAGTTTATAAAAACATTCATCAGAAGAAGCTTCATAAATATTTCACACCAGCATGCCATATCATCTTCAGTTTATGAATACTTTTTTAAATATGTTTTTGTTACAAAACAAAGAATATTTAGAATAATGATGTAGATAAAATATTTAAATCCATTTTAACTTAGTACCTATTTATTTCTGCATAGTGAATAACATTTGGTTTACACAAATAAAACTAATAATAATTCAGAATACTGGCATTAAAGAAATGATTTTTCTTAAACTTAAAGCCACTTGTTTTTTTGTAAATATGTTGAATAATATATTTCAGTCAGTACTTCACACAAGAAACATTTTTATCCATGTTACTGCTCAAATATTCTGAGTGATTGTTTTTTCAATAACTGCATTTCATAAAATAAAAATTTTCAAAACTTACACATGTACTTCCATATTCAACATACAAGTTTTTAGTACTGTATCAACTTTCATGTTTTAGTAATTGTATTGATAATGTAATAACAATGTATATCTTAATGTTAAAAAAGAAAGATGACAAATATTATTAATTTTTTTTAAAAATCAACTGCATGTGTAACACTTACCAAAGCAAGTAAGCCATACAATACATGAGGAATAACTGAATGATGATCCTTCAGCCGATCAATAAAAAATGTTACCAACACTTCCACTGTATAAGTAAAGAAGAAATTAAATAAGACATGTATAATTATTAATATTGTTTACCTGTGTACAAATATATCTCAGTATCAACATTTTAGAAAATCAATTGCAAATGTATGATGTCAAATATGTAATTAAAATTCTACTCTCATAATAGCTACTATAGTGCAGAAATGGTTGTCACTTCACAACATTAACAAACAATTTCAATTCAAATAAAAGTATTGCAGTATAAACTATGACTTAAATATATTACAAAAAACCCTTTCACACATTTTTCTGCCATATTGAGAGTTTACTTATGTTCTAATAATTTTTAGTTAATATAATACAAAAATTAAGGGGTAAAAATTATGATATTTGATATTGTGAACCACAACTAAGGCATTAAGTCTCAGGCATGTGACCTCATTTCAAAACCTTCAAGTTCACTTTAAGCTACTTTAGCAAATGTCGGCCATGCTAAAGTATTTAGAAATGATTTTTAGACATAATATGCTGTGAAACACATTTTACGTATGAACATGAACTCCATTCTGGTTTCCACCCAACTATTCTCATGATCTGGTTACAATCATAGAGAAAGAAGTTACGTGTCAACTGAAAAGCCAGGGTTGTTAACCTGCAGAAAGAATGTGGCAAGTTAACTAAAGTTAGAAAAGACAAGTAAGTTTAGTTCATTACAGATCAGTTAATAAATCATACATAATATGGCATACCGGTGTCGGTGTTGTACTGATTTCTTTTTATTGAGTGTTAATATTTTTTTTATCTGAAGAGGTATTTCAGATAGATACTCACCACTCCAATAAACTAGAGCTGTTATAGTATAACCTTCCACCAACAGAAGGGTGATACACCCTCTATTTATGGTAAACTCTGCGAGTACTAGCATTGCAACAAAGGCTCATTTTTGATGAGATAACTGAAATATACACCTGGAAAAAAGTTAAGCACCCCCAAATATTTTTCAGGATTGCTTATTGAAAATAAGGTTTAATTTTCATGATGTTGAGCAATGTTCATAATTTCAAACATAATTAAAAGAATGTAGAGCGTTCAGGTGT